GGGACTGTCGGATGTTGTCTTTCCAGCGCACCCTGGGTCGTCCTGGAGGTCTGGTTCCCTGGTTCTTAGCCTCCTATGCCTGCCATGGTGGCCGATTTTCTCCCATTCTGCATACATGTCCAAACCATCGTAACTGTGACTGATCCACTCCGGTTTGTAAGGACTGGGTATCAAGATCTTGACGTATTGTCTGATTGCGGACTTTCTCCCTTCTTGTCACTTGGACCACCTTTCTCAGATATCTTATTCCGAGGCCTGCAGCTGGCTTCTGTGAGCTGTTGTCATTGCCCATGACTCACACCCATAGGTCAGGACGGGTACATAGGTAGAGCGGTAAACAGCCATTTTCGTCCTCTTGCCAATTTCTCTTTTGCTAAGAAACCCTCAGTTTATGGCCTGGAAGAGTCTCCCAGCAGCTGCTTTTCGTGTAGCCAGCTCAGTCTTAATGCCTCCATTTCGGTCTAATACAACTCTAAAGTATTTGAACTGGTTAACCTGCTCCAATGCATACTGTCCCATCATGATCTGGTGTTTCTTCTCCTCTCTTGAGATCACCATGGTTTTAGTTTTGGAGATACTAATGGTCATCCCTCTCTTTTCAAGCTCTTCCAGACAAGTAAGTTGAACTGAAGGTGTGCCTCTGATTTAGCTATCAGGGCCACATCGTCTGCAAATGCCAGCTCGGATATACAGATTGGTCTCATCTTCCAGTACCCTACAGAGTACTTCTTTGTCTTCTCCTTACAGGCCTTGATGATATCCTCCATAATAAGAATAAAGAGGTAAGGTGAGAGAATATGGTCTTAAATTCTTCTGACTTTTTGTCTGCTATTCTTACATAATTTCTGCAGCTTTTGTAGAAACTCTGTATTGCACTGATCAGGGTTGCTGGAATGTTTTTCCCCGCCAAGCAGCCCCAGAGCTTGTTCCAGGGTACTTTGTCAAATGCCTTTTCCAGAATCCAAAAACATAGGTGCATTTCACTCTTATATTCAAGTTTTTTTTTCACTCATCTGTCTCAGTGTGAAGATTAGGCCTTGAGTACTTCGGTTTGCTTTGAAGCCGCATTGCGCCTCATCCAGCTGTGGCTCAACCAGACTTCTAAGTCTCTGCTCTAGAATTCTAGAGTAACTTTTACCATGAACGCTGAGGAGGGATATGCCTCTGTGGTTTTCACATTGTCTGTTATCACCTTTTTTAAATATAGGTATAATGATGGCAATCTCCCAATCTTTTGGTATAGTTTTACTACACCAGGCTGCCTGCAGAAGCTTCAGTAGAAGGCGCTCACCTGCGACACCCATATATTTGACCATCTCTGGTGTTATACCATCATGACCTGCTGCTTTTCCCAGCTTAATCTTCTCAATAGCTGCCTTCAACTCTACCATCCTGATGTTATCATCCTCATGGATGATTTCCTTCTCGGCAGTGAGGTCCATTATTTCTGGGTCATGACTTCCCTCAATGCCAAGGAGCTCTGAGAAGTATTCTTTCCATCTGCCCATGATATTATCTGTAGAAGTAAGCAGAGCCCCTTCCTTGTCTTTTATGAATTTCAGTGGGCACTCTTTCTCCTTCCTCATGTTCTTGAGGGTCTTGTAGAACAGTTTTTGATTTTCTCTTGCATTCTTTTCCAACTTTTCTCCAAACTCTTCCCATGATTTCTGTTTTGCTTTAAGCACAATATTTTTGGTCTCTGTTCTGAGTGCCACATATTGTTTCTATTTCTCTATTTCTTCAGCTGTGTTCCTGGCTGCCAGGTATTGCTTCCATACCCTTTTCTTTTCTCCTATTTTCAGTTTGACTTCTTCCGTCCACCAAGGTGTCCTATGTCCCCGCTTTCCACTTGGGACGTAACCACATGCTTCTACTGTAGCTTCTGTGAGGATATTCTTGAGTCTGCACCAGAGGGTTTCAGTGTCCTCTGATGGTTCTTCTTCAGTTTCTATTGCTTTCACTATAAGCTCCTGGTATCTAGCCTCAATATCTGGCTCTCTTAGCTTGTATGCCTTAATCCTTTTCTCTTCTCGGTTGCTTGGTTTCTTGCATGGTTGTCGTTGTTGCCTTGTTGAAGCAGTTCTTTCAGTTGTTCTCTTTATTGTGACCAGATAGTGGTCACTTCCAATCTCTGGTCCTCTCATGACTCTGGCATTTCTAACAAACTTTAATGAACTTTTCCTAACTATAGCATAGTCAATAATGGATTTTTTATTCTTTGAAGGTTCACATCTTGTTTATGCATGTTTACGCTTGTTGGGGAATTTTGTGTTTATAATGACAAGGTTCTGTTCCCTGCAGAATCTGAGAAGTCGCTTGCCATTATCATTCAAAACATCTTCACCATATCTCCCGATCACTCCACCCCATCTAGAGTGATCATTTCCTACTCTGGCATTTAGATCTCCTAGGAGGATAATTTCATGGTGACAGTCATCTATGGTCCTTTGGAGCAGTTCAAAGAATTCTTCTTTAACATCAACTCGCTCATCTTCATTTGGCCCGTACACAATAACAATATTGATAATTTTATCTTCTTCTTTCAGATCTAACACCATAATTCGCTCCGAGATGAATTTCCATCCCTTGATGTTACTAACTTGGTTCCTGGCCACAATACAGCCAACACCTCCCTTAGCTCTCTCCATCATAGGGACACCACTGTAGAGCAGCATACTTCCATCATGATCTGTGATTCCTTGCCCCTTTTTCTTGGTTTCAGTCAGAGCCAAGACTCCTAATTTCGCTTTCCTCATCTCCCCTACTAACTCCCTTTCCTTCCCGTTAATGCCTCTTATGTTCCATAATTTGTAGTCTGTAAGCCATGCCAGTTCGTCGCCGTTAAGATCCGTCCGGTTTTCTCTCTGTAGTTACTTGTAATCATATTTTAAGGCAAACAGGTGATTGGCCTGTTGTGCCTTTGCATTGTGGAGGGGCTGCCTCCTTGCGGCCTCCATGCAGGCCGCCTGGCTTATTCACGGTTAGCCACTACTTCCGGAGACGCATGAAGCACTCAGGTTCAGCCAGACCCTCCTCCTTTTACAGCCGGGGTTGGGACCGGTCTTAGGAGATCTAATCACAATGAAAATAAAATACCTTATCTCTTTAAAGCAAACATTACCATTTGAGATCTAATCACAATAAAAATAAAATACCTTATCTCTTTAAAGCAAACATTACCATCTGAGATCTAATCACAATATAAAAAAAAATACCTCACATCTTTGAAGCAAACATCACCATCTGAGATCTAATCATAATAAAAATAAAATAACTTACTCTTTAAAGCAAACATTACCATCAGAGATCTAATCACAATGAAAATAAAATACCTCACATCTTTGAAGCAAACATTACCATCAGAGTGTTAATCACAATGAAAATAAAATACCTCATAACTTTGAAGCAAACATTACCATCTGAGATCTAATCACAATGAAAATAAAATACCTCACATCTTTGAAGCAAACATTACCATCTGAGATCTAATCACAATAAAAATATGAATCATGATCTGGTAACATCATTATATGACACAGACAGCAGATGTGACACACCACTGCTAGTCTCTCACACCTGACATGGAAGACACAGACTGCAGATGTGACACACCACTGCTGGTCTCTCACACCTGACACGGAAGACACAGATTGCAGATGTGACACACCACTGCTGGTCTCTCACACCTGACATGGAAGACACAGACTGCAGATGTGACACACCACTGCTAGTCTCTCACACCTGACATGGAAGACACAGACTGCAGATGTGACACACCACTGCTGGTCTCTCACACCTGACATGGAAGACACAGACTGCAGATGTGACACACCACTGCTGGTCTCTCACACCTGACATGGAAGACACAGACTGCAGATGTGACACACCACTGCTAGTCTCTCACACCTGACATGGAAGACACAGACTGCAGATGTGACACACCACTGCTGGTCTCTCACACCTGGCATGGAAGACACAGACTGCAGATGTGACACACCACTGCTGGTCTCTCACACCTGACATGGAAGACACAGACTGCAGATGTGACACACCACTGCTGGTCTCTCACACCTGACATGGAAGACAGACTGCAGATGTGACACGCCACTGCTGGTCTCTCACACCTGACATGGAAGACACAGACTGCAGATGTGACACACCACTGATAGTCTCTCACACCTGACATGAAAGACAGACTGCAGATGTGACACACCACTGCTAGTCTCTCACACCTGACATGGAAGACACAGACTGCAGATGTGACACACCACTGCTGGTCTCTCACACCTGACATGGAAGACACAGACTGCAGATGTGACACACCACTGCTAGTCTCTCACACCTGACATGGAAGACAGACTGCAGATGTGACACACCACTGCTGGTCTCTCACACCTGGCATGGAAGACACAGACTGCAGATGTGACACACCACTGCTGGTCTCTCACACCTGACATGGAAGACACAGACTGCAGATGTGACACACCACTGCTGGTCTCTCACACCTGACATGGAAGACAGACTGCAGATGTGACACACCACTGCTGGTCTCTCACACCTGACATGGAAGACACAGACTGCAGATGTGACACACTACTGCTAGTCTCTCACACCTGACATGGAAGACACAGACTGCAGATGTGACACACCACTGCTGGTCTCTCACACCTGACATGGAAGACACAGACTGCAGATGTGACACACCACTGCTGGTCTCTCACACCTGACATGGAAGACACAGACTGCAGATGTGACACACCACTGCTGGTCTCTCACACCTGACACGGAAGAAACAGACTGCAGATGTGACACACCACTGCTGGTCTCTCACACCTGACATGGAAGACATTGATTGGGAACCCCTCCAGTGTCAGCTGTAACTGTTACCTGACATGGAAGACACAGGCTGAGACAAAACCAACAAGACAATCCTAGAAAGTAACCATCACTGGTGAGAAAATACCTACCTCACAGGGAACACAAGATGAAGCACAACGTTGCTAATGTCCACTGCTTTCACTGGTGTTTCGACTGCGCTCTTTCACCGGCACCACCTCCTCATCTGGTTTTGATTGGCGTGGGCGGCCCTTGCCAAATATGCTCTCATTGCGAGCGGTATCCACAGGGAGGTTGGGAGGATCTTTGACTGAGCGTGGTTTCAAGTTCAGCTTTGGCCTCTGGGCTAACGATTCTGTAGAAACAGAACATAGCATGCATTGAGGTACAGCAGTAAAACAATTTAACAGACTCTAGATACTGTGTCTCACAGACAACAGTTTCCTTCAGTGACATCACTATTATAAATGGACAAATGCAACAGTACAATTGTATATACATACACAGGAAATATTTGTTACAACAGACACGCACACGGAAGAAAACAGCAAGAAATCACACACACAATGGTCTAACAAATGTCTGATATGTTTCAGTTATAATACACCTGTGACAAACACATACTAATCATGATCACTCATTTCTCCGTCACCCACACATGAGTTGCCGAATGTACAAGAGGACATACATAAGTAAGTCACAAATGGTTATTAAACCTAAAAAAAAAAAGATTACTTGAAAATCTTTCGTTTTTACACCTACACGGTCCCTTTTGTTTTCCAACATAATTTGCACAAACATTGATGCAACTGTCCTGTAGTTTTATTAGTCCTCCCAAACCTGCTGCATAGAACTGCCTGCCCTGTTTTATAAACCACATTTTTAATTCACATTTAAGTTTGACGTCATTCACGAAATGTCTCCCGCCAAGGTGGGGTTTCAGTGAATCAAAAAGGCAGAAATCGATAGAGGCTAAGTCAGAGGCTGTAAAGTGGGTGTCCCAGAAATGCCCACCTTAGATGGTAGAGTTTCTCCTGAGTAAAGCAAGCCGTATATGGTTTGGCATTGTCATGAAAACCAGTACTCCTCTAGTCATCAGGCCTGGAGGTTTTCTTCAACCCGCATCATGCAGCATTCTTCTTCTTCTTCTTCGATCCTTCTGTCAGAAAACTTATATCAGGAGGCCGGTAGCCTTTGTGAAAGCTACCGTGCAATCCATATCCTCTCGTGTACCATACAGTTTTGTCTTCATTAGAGCAGGCCAGATTGCGTCTCTGTTGTCAGCATACAGTTGACAGTGTTGCTCAGCATTTTCGGGTGCCACGCTGCTGGGACACGTCTCCGTATTTTACACCGAAAAATGTGAACATATGTTGACGAAATCTGTTGTGCCTGGTCCTTAGTCTGAATATAATACAATGCAGCATTGATTACAATTTATAGTATGAATCAGCATTCACACTGTCACCTCTTTTTTGTTTAAACTGATTAAAAGCACACCTTGACAATGCCAGAACACTGTCAGCATAAGCTTGTATTTTTGAAACACAAGGTGAAGAACGATGTTTCCACTGCACTGAAGCACACTTGGATTTGGGCTGGTAGTGATGTACCCGTGATTTGTCCCCAGTTATAATCCTGTTCAGCATGTTTTCTCCTTCATCTGCATATCAACAGAGATGCTGCAAGTATAGACCTAATCAGTTCCTTTTGTGTTTGTCCGTCAACTGTCTGAGTAACCACTTTGAGCACTCTCTTAAATTTCGACCAATCATGTATTATGGTGTATGCTGAACCATGTGAGCACCCTATTGCAGGTGCTACAGAGTCTATCGCTACTCATCTGTCACTTCTAATCTCCTTCATCTCAACAGGACGATCAGATCTGACTTCATCAACAATTTTAGAGCATCCTTGCAAAAATTGGTGGTGTTGCCCAGCTATGCACTGCTGTACGAGATAAACATTTGACAAATCTGACAAAGCTGGGTACCTGTAAGCATGACAACTGCTATGTAAATATGACAGCTTATGTATAAACATTGAAACTTATATGCAAATAAGACTTCAGCTTACCTGGGGAAGCTTCCCTAAATTCATTGCCACCACTGTCCTGTCGCCTGCGAGTGCCGGCTCCAGCTCCAGCCGCCGCTGCAGCTCCAAACTCTCGATCCCCTCTGCCGCTGAAGCCACTACCCCGCTCAAAGCTGCCACCTCCTCTGTCCCCGTAGCTTCCATAGCTCCCTCCACCTCGACCCCCACGAAAACCTCCTCGATCAGAAGTGGCACCTCCCCTGCCACCACCGGCATAACCTCTAGAGTCGCCATCCCGCCCCTGCCAGCTACCACCACGTCCTCCACCACGACCTGATATCAGAGGAAGAGAAATCAAGAAAATGTTGGAGTATTTGTGAAGCAAAGCTGCTGAAGATATTCGGCTATCAAATACTGCGCACAGTGCTGGGCAATCATATATCACATGTGGAAAGGAAGGAGGGACCACTAAATACTCTTCCAAGATTAAAGCATTAAGGTTGTGACAGCAAAAAATTGTATTTAGGAAAAATCAACCAGTCTTAACTCTAAGAAACATACAATTTGATCTACCCCAGAGAACCTTGTATATGCACATCAGGCTACTGGCACCTGGTAAGGAAATAACCACATTTAGTGAGACAAAAAACAGACAGTGGCAGTCAAGATATAGCAAGCACACCCATAACATTATTAACAAGCTAGACTGAAAAATTAGGACACGAGAGAAAATGGTGACACTAAAACAAACATGAACTTGTTGACCGATGCAGAGACTGTCATGGAAATAACACAAGCGACAATGAAATAAAATTAAGAAATGTCATAAGCAGTCCGTATAATCAAAACCTAACCGGGTATCCAGATCAAAGAGCTATCTAACGGTCTGTGTCCCCTTATTCTGACAGTCTGTGCCCCTTTATCTGATAGTCTGTGCCCCTTTATCTGACAGTCTGTGCCCCTTTATTTGATAGTCTGTGCCCCTTAACCTGACAGTCTGTGCCCCTTTATCTGACAGTCTGTGCCCCTTAACCTGACAGTCTGTGCCCCTTAACCTGACAGTCTGTGCCCCTTTATCTGACAGTCTGTGCCCCTTTATCTGACAGTCTGTGCCCCTTTATCTGACAGTCTGTGCCCCTTTATCTGACAGTCTGTGCCCCTTTATTTGACAGTCTGTGCCCCTTTATTTGACAGTCTGTGCCCCTTTATCTGACAGTCTGTGCCCCTTTATCTGACAGTCTGTGCCCCTTAACCTGAAAGTCTGTGCCCCTTAACCTGAAAGTCTGTGCCCCTTTATCTGACAGTCTGTGCCCCTTTATCTGACAGTCTGTGCCCCTTTATCTGACAGTCTGTGCCCCTTTATCTGACAGTCTGTGCCCCTTTATCTGACAGTCTGTGCCCCTTTATCTGACAGTCTGTGCCCCTTTATCTGACAGTCTGTGCCCCTTTATCTGACAGTCTGTGCCCCTTTATTTGACAGTCTGTGCCCCTTTATTTGACAGTCTGTGCCCCTTTATCTGACAGTCTGTGCCCCTTAACCTGAAAGTCTGTGCCCCTTTATCTGACAGTCTGTGCCCCTTAACCTGAAAGTCTGTGCCCCTTTATCTGACAGTCTGTGCCCCTTTATCTGACAGTCTGTGCCCCTTTATCTGACAGTCTGTGCCCCTTTATCTGACAGTCTGTGCCCCTTTATCTGACAGTCTGTGCCCCTTTATCTGACAGTCTGTGCCCCTTTATCTGACAGTCTGTGCCCCTTTATCTGACAGTCTGTGCCCCTTTATCTGACAGTCTGTGCCCCTTTATCTGACAGTCTGTGCCCCTTTATCTGACAGTCTGTGCCCCTTTATCTGACAGTCTTACATTCCTATTTTGTGGCTAGGGTTCTGCTTAAATGTTACTAAGGTAGCAGCCTAGTTCTACAGATTTTCAAATGTCAAAGGATGCTTTGTGTACAAGAATACCAGTTCAAGTTGTCCAGCCTAGTCTCAGAAATGTACAAGTCTCATCTGCTACCTCAGAATAGGGAAGAATTATACAACACCAAGCAACTCTGTAATGTTGCACAATGTTTACACAGCTGTTACCACCTCGTCTTCTCAAGTGAGAGACAGACAACAACTTGACTAACAAGACAAGTCTTCTGTGTGTTTCCACCCCTGTCTTCTGTGTGTTTCCACCATTGTCTTCTGTGTGTTTCCACCCTTGTCTTCTGTGTGTTTTCACCCTTGTCTTCTGTGTTTCCACCCTTGTCTTCTGTGTTTCCACCCTTGTCTTCTGTGTGTTTCCACCCTTGTCTTCTGTGTGTTTCCACCATTGTCTTCTGTGTGTTTCCACCATTGTCTTCTGTGTGTTTCCACCCTTGTCTTCTGTGTGTTTCCACCCTTGTCTTCTGTGTGTTTCCACCCTTGTCTTCTGTGTGTTTCCACCCTTGTCTTCTGTGTTTTCACCCTTGTCTTCTGTGTGTTTTCACCCTTGTCTTCTGTGTGTTTTCACCCTTGTCTTCTGTGTGTTTCCACCGTCTTCTGTGTGTTTCCACCATTGTCTTCTGTGTGTTTCCACCATTGTCTTCTGTGTGTTTCCACCCTTGTCTTCTGTGTGTTTCCACCCTTGTCTTCTGCGTGTTTTCACCCCTGTCTTCTGTGTGTTTTCACCCCTGTTTTCTGTGTGTTTTCACCCCTGTCTTCTGTGTGTTTCCACCCCTGTCTTCTGTGTGTTTTCACCCCTGTCTTCTGTGTGTTTTCACCCCTGTCTTCTGTGTGTTTTCACCCCTGTTTTCTGTGTGTTTTCACCCCTGTCTTCTGTGTGTTTTCACCCCGTCTTCTGTGTGTTTTCACCCCGTCTTCTGTGTGTTTTCACCCCTGTCTTCTGTGTGTTTCCACCCCTGTCTTCTGTGTTTCCACCCCTGTCTTCTGTGTTTCCACTTGTCTTCTGTGTTTCCACCCCTGTCTTCTGTGTGTTTCCACCCCTGTCTTCTGTGTGTTTCCACCCCTGTCTTCTGTGTTTCCACGATTGTCTTCTGTGTGTTTCCACGATTGTCTTCTGTGTGTTTCCACGATTGTCTTCTGTGTGTTTCCACGATTGTCTTCTGTGTGTTTCCACCCTTGTCTTCTGTGTGTTTCCACGATTGTCTTCTGTGTGTTTCCACGATTGTCTTCTGTGTTTCCACCCTTGTCTTCTGTGTTTCCACCCTTGTCTTCTGTGTGTTTCCACCCTTGTCTTCTGTGTGTTTCCACGATTGTCTTCTGTGTGTTTCCACCATTGTCTTCTGTGTATTTCCATCCTTGTCTTCTGTGTGTTTCCACCCTTGTCTTCTGTGTGTTTCCACCCCTGTCTTCTGTGTTTCCACCCATGTCTTTTGTGTTTCCACTTGTCTTCTGTGTTTCCACCCTTGTCTTCTGTGTGTTTCCACCCCTGTCTTCTGTGTTTCCACGCATGTCTTTTGTGTTTCCACCATTGTCTTCTGTTTGTTTCTTCTCTCACTGGAGTCTACATTCTCAGCTAAGCCTGTTCTGAATCTATACATGACAAGCTGACATTTATAGTAACAGGTTTTACCATGGCATAGGGTAGCCAGTATTAACCCAACCTTTCTCAGTGGCTTCTGACAACATGCATGGGTACATTTTACCAACTGTTATGTGTTGTTGCCAGTCAATAATCTACCATGCAGTAATGTGTTGTTAATAATCTACTATGCAGTAATGTGTTGTTGCCAGTCAATAATCTACCATGCAGTAATGTGTTGTTAATAATCTACTATGCAGTAATGTGTTGTTGCCAGTCAATAATCTACCATGCAGTAATGTGTTGTTGCCAGTCAATAATCTACTATGCAGTAATGTGTTGTTGCCAGTCAATAATCTACCATGCAGCAATGTGTTGTTGCCAGTCAATAATCTACCATGCAGCAATGTGTTGTTGCCAGTCAATAATCTACTATGCAGCAATGCGTTGTTGCCAGTCAATAATCTACCATGCAGTAATGTGTTGTTGCCAGTCAATAATCTACCATGCAGCAATGTGTTGTTGCCAGTCAATAATCTACTATGCAGTAATGTGTTGTTGCCAGTCAATAATCTACTATGCAGTAATGTGTTGTTGCCAGTCAATAATCTACCATGCAGTAATGTGTTGTTGCCAGTCAATAATCTACCATGCAGTAATGTGTTGTTAATAATCTACCATGCAGTAATGTGTTGTTGCCAGTCAATAATCTACCATGCAGCAATGTGTTGTTGCCAGTCAATAATCTACTATGCAGTAATGTGTTGTTGCCAGTCAATAATCTACCATGCAGTAATGTGTTGTTGCCAGTCAATAATCTACCACGCAGTAATGTGTTGTTGCCAGTCAATCATCTACCATGCAGCAATGTGTTGTTAATAATCTACTATGCAGTAATGTGTTGTTGCCAGTCAATAATCTACCATGCAGCAATGTGTTGTTGCCAGTCAATAATCTACTATGCAGCAATGTGTTGTTGCCAGTCAATAATCTACTATGCAGTAATGTGTTGTTGCCAGTCAATAATCTACCATGCAGTAATGTGTTGTTGCCAGTCAATAATCTACCATGCAGTAATGTGTTGTTGCCAGTCAATCATCTACCATGCAGTAATGTGTTGTTAATAATCTACCATGCAGTAATGTGTTGTTGCCAGTCATAATCTACCATGCAGTAATGTGTTGTTGCCAGTCAATAATCTACCATGCAGTAATGTGTTGTTGTTGCAGTCAATAATCTACCATGCAGTAATGTGTTGTTGCCAGTCAATAATCTACCATGCAGTAATGTACCATTGTTGTTAATGCCAGTCAATAATCTACCATGCAGTAATGTGTTGTGTGCCAGTCAATAATCTACCATGCAGTAATGTGTTGTTGCCAGTCAATAATCTACCATGCAGTAATGTGTTGTTGCCAGTCAATAATCTACCATGCAGTAATGTGTTGTTGCCAGTCATATATCTACCATGCAGTAATGTGTTGTTGCCAGTCAATAATCTACCATGCAGTAATGTGTTGTTGCCAGTCAATAATCTACCATGCAGTAATGTGTTGTTAATAATCTACTATGCAGTAATGTGTTGTTGCCAGTCAATAATCTACCATGCAGTAATGTGTTGTTGCCAGTCAATAATCTACCATGCAGTAATGTGTTGTCGCCAATCAATAATCTACCATGCAGTAATGTGTTGTTGCCAGTCAATAATCTACCATGCAGTAATGTGTTGTTGCAGTAATCTACCAATAGTCAATAATCTACCATGCAGTAATGTGTTGTTGCCAGTCAATAATCTACCATGCAGTAATGTGTTGTTGCCAGTCAATAAT